AATCGTGGTTACTGATCATCTTTACCAAGTTATTTCATTCTGGAGAATGAATTTAATTTAATGATTATGTATCAAGTTTATAAATTAATAATTGTATTTGTAATAGTAATACACTTTAAATATACATATCTGCAGAGTGCTTAGTTCTTATATTTTGTTTGTGTTTATGACAAGTCCAGTGAAGTCATAATCTGTGGGTTACTGGATTTCATTGATTCCAAGATACCTTTTCCTCCCCACTTTTCAACATCTCTGCAGGGATTCATCTTTATAAGTGGGGGCATCTTAGCATTATGTCATAATTAACAGGTTGTTTTCTTTCTTAGTGATACATAAAATAATGGTACATCTATAATCTATGTTTTTTCTTAGATTCTATGAAAGAACATAATTATCATTAAGCTGGCATACAAATTCAACTTTGTGAGACAAGCATATTTACACCTAGAAGTGAAAAGACACAATTCTCCACAAAAACAATATCTCAACTATTGTAGTTTTGTATTATCAGCATACATAGTTTGAAGTCAATTGAACTTAGAAGGAAACTATTAAACCTCTGAATGTTGAAGAAAAACTCTTTGCCCTTTTTAGTAAGGATTAGAAGTTCAATTTTATGATAACAGCACATAAACAATATATACTTACTTTTAGTTTTATGAAAACTGTTATGTAAATATTCTGTTACCTCTTTTTAAACAGAAGGTGGAGGATAACCCAGTGCTTTGCATTCTCTAAAACACTTGTTAACAACTTCTTAACTCAGTTTCCCATTAGGTACCATTTGAAGCTGTAGCCTGTGATTTCAAGTATAATTATAAGTAAGGCTGAGTGAAAGTAGAGAATGTAATTTTGTATTTTCTTGCCCCATAATAAGGAAGCAGCTCAGTGGTGATGGTATGTGGGAGCCAGAAGTGCTTTCTGCAGAAGAGAGGTCTTCATTCAACAGAGAACATTAATTGAGTGCTTATAATTTTTGATGCTAGAAATGTAGGTGTGATTAAGATCATCCATTTTTTTAGGGAACTCATGAGCAGAGTGGGGCAGGAACAGATATATGGATATTAAGGTACAAAAAAAATTAGACCAGTGTCAAAGTAATGGTATGTTCCAGGTATTCTTTGAGTCTGAGGAGAGACTGACTAGCCCTCCCTGGGGAAGTGTCCAGGAGGGCTTCAGTTAAGAAGCAGCCTTTGAAATGAACTATAAATGGTAAGTGGAAAATCACTGGTTGAATTAAAATAGGGAACAGCTTTTCTGGAAGAGACAATAGACAAGGTTCTTTCTCAGAACACTGTAGTGATGTAAATTCAAGGTTCAGTAATTCCTAGAAGAAATTTTTTTAACTGGTGATCTAAGAACCAGAAAAAGATGTTTACAAATCTTGAGGCTTAATTTTAATTTACCCATAGTTAGATAATTGCTTGATCTTCTAGGCTAAGTAAGAGCTGTGTGTTATTGCATCTTTTCTAGTCTAATGTTTGCCCATCGTCCACGGTCTTGGAGAGAAATGCCTATCCGATATGCTGATTTTGGAGTTCTTCACAGAAATGAATTGTCGGAAACTTTAAGTGGCTTGACCCAAGTTAGGCGCTTCCAGCAGGACGATGCTCACATATTCTGCACAGCAGAGCAGGTAAACAATAATACAGGGGGAAGCATCAATGGCATAAATTCAGTGTCGCCTTAGACACATCTCTTAACCTCTCCAGGTTGCTACAAAGTAAGATAATTGTTGGTCTAGTCTCAGGTCCCATTCAGTTCTAACATTTTGTGATCCTCTGATTTAGGTCATAGATCAGTAGTCTCTTGATGTAGAATTTATTATTTTTCCTTTTAAGCTTCCTCCAGTTTTGTTAACTAAAATAGACTAAGTAGAGTATGTTAAGGAATTTGGTAGAATTTTGGATGTCTTTGTTTTTCAATATTGCCAAGAAGTTAGAGTTTACTTTTCAGGTTTTCATGTTCATTCAAATGAAAATTGTCATGCAAAGGGCCACTATCAAATGGTTTGGCCTAATTGAAATCCACAGAACCCCTCAACCAATAAGAGCAGATATACATTCTTTCAAAGTACATGCAGAACATTTACTAAGATAGACCATATACTGGGCCACTAGACAATTCTCATTAAATTTAAAGGATTCAGTTCATACAAAATATGTTCTTGGCTACAATGTCATTAAAGTAGAAATCAATAACTAAAAGTTATCTGAAAAATCACCAAGTATTTGGAAAGTAAAGAGCACACTTCTAAATAACCCATGGATCAAAGAAGAAGTCAAAAAGGAAATTATAAAATATATATCAAATGAAATGGAAGGAAACACTTGAAATGTGTTGACCAACTGGAACCTGAAATGATCCAGTTTGGGCAACAAAGAGAAAAGAAACTAAAAGAAAAATGAACAGAACTTTGTAGATCAGTGGGACTGTAACAAAATATCTAATATTCATGTCACTGGAGTTTTGGAAAAAAGAGAATAAGGGTGGAGGTGAAAAAGTACTCAAAGACATAATCGCTGAAAATTCACTAAATTTGGCAAAATACATAAGCCTACAGTGTCAAGAAGCTGAAAAACATCCCAAATAGGATAAATGCAAAGAAATCCACACCAACACACAGCATAGACAAACTTAGAAAAAAATTCTGAAAACAATGAGAAAAAAATCATGCATTATCTTTTAGAAAAAAAAGTTTTGAACAACAACGACCTTTTTATCAAAAACCATGGAGGCCAAAGGAAAGTGGCAACATATTTCTCAAATGCTGAAAGAACCATCAACCCAGAATTCTACATCCAGAAAAATATCCTTCAGAAATTAAGGAAAATCATGACATTAGATTTATTTTAATATCAGTGGCTATGGGGAGTTCTCTAAATGGGAAGGAGATGATAAAATAAGGAGTCTTGGAACATTAGGAAGAAAGAAAGAAGAATTGTAAAAGTAAAACATAGGTAAATGTCTTTTCCTTTTCCTTTGAGTTTTCTGAATAATGTTTAATGGTTGAAGCAAAATTTGTAACACTGTCTGATATAGTTCTAAGCTTATGTAGAGAAAATATTTAAGAAAACTGTAAGTAGAGGTAAGGTTTCTACACCTGAACTGGTAAAATGATGACATCAGTAGACTGTGATATATTGTGTAATACCTAGAGAATTGCTGTGGTATATACTTGAAACCAGTATAATATTGTGTATCAGCTGTACTTAAATTTAAAAAAACCAATCCACTAAAAAAAAGCTATACACAGATATATACTTAAAAAACAGATCATCAAGATGGAATTGTAAAAAATACTAAATTTTTTTAGGAAAGAAAAAAACCAAATGAATAACAAGAGAATACAGGAAAGGAACAGTACCAACAAAAAAAAGGTTAAACTTAAGTTCTAACATGTTATGTTAAGTGTAGGTTGAAATAAACCAATTATAAGCTAGAGATTGGCAGAGTGATTTAAAAACATGTCCCCAGCTATGTGTGGTCTCCAAAAAAAGCACTTCGGATATAACATTATGGACAGGTTGAAGATAAAAGAATTGAAAAGATCTATTAAGCAAATGCTATGCAAAAGAAAGCGAGAGCAGCTATAATAATATCAGATAAAGGAGACCTTAGAGAAAATTACCAAAGATGGAGAGGATATTACATAACGCCACAAAGACACAGCAATCCCAAGTGTGGAAAGACCATACAACAGAGCTGCAAATATAAGCAAAAACCGATAGGACTGAAAGGAGAAGTAAACAGATACACAATCAGAGTGGATACTTCAATATCCCTCCCCAAAATTGACATGAGTAGCCATGAAATCAGCAAAGATACAGAACATAATCAACCAACAGTATCTCATTTCCATTTATAAAACACTCCACCCAACAGCAGCAGAACATACAGGCATACCTTGGAAATAGTGGGGGTTCAGTGCCACAGTAAAGCGCATATTGTAATAACATAAGTCTGAGGAATTTTCTAGTATCCCAGTGCACCTTAAAGTTATGTTTACACTATGCTGTAGTCTATTAAGTGTGTAATAGTATTATGTCTAAAAAAATATGTGTTTAAAAATACCTTGATTAAAAAAACTATTGCTGAAAAATGCTAATCATCACTTGAGCTTTCAGCAAGTCATAATCACTTATCACAGACACCATAACAAATATAACAAAAAATATAAAATATCGAGAGAATCGCCAAAATGGGACATGGAGACATGTAAGCAAATGCTTTTGGAAATATGGCCCAATAGACTTGTTTGATGCAGAATTGCTACAAACCTTCAATTTGTAAAAAACACAGTATCTGTGAAGTGTAATAAAGCAAAGCCCAATAGAATAAAGGATGCCTGTATAGTCTATATAAATGCCCACAAGACATTACACCACATGGACCATATCCTGGGCCATAAAACCAACTGAACAAATTAAAAACTTCTTTAAATCATACATAATATTTTTCTGTCCACAGTAGAATTAAACTAGAAATCAATAATAGAAATACAACAAGGAAATATCCAAATACTTGGAAACTGAAAAACATACTTCTAAATAAACCATGGGTCCAAGAGGAAATCTCAGGAAAAATTTAAAGATACACATTGACCAGAATGAAAATGAAAATGCAGCACATCAACATTTATGGGACACAGCAAATGCATTGCTAACAAGTAAATATGTAATGTTAAATGCATATATGATAGAACAGGAAAAGTCTCGAATCAATAATCTGGGCTCCCACCTCAAGACCAAGAAAAAAGGGCAAAATAAATCCAAAACAGTAAGAAGGAAGGAGGCAATAAAGATAAGAGCAGCAATCAGTGAAATTGAAAATAGAAAAACAGTGGAAAAAAATAAGGCAAAAAACTGGTTCTTTGAAAAGATTAACAAAATTTATAAACTTCTTTCAAGACAAAGAGAAAACTCGAGAAGACACAGATTACCAAGGTTTCACCACAGATCCTGAAGACATCAAAAGCATAAGGGAATATAATAATTCTTCATACATTAATTTGACAACCTAGTTGAAATGCACTAATTCATTGAAAAGCACAGCCACCCTAAATCACCTGATAGGAAATAGATTATTTGAAAAGCCCTGTCACTGGGAAAGGAAATTGGATTAGCAATTTAAAAACTGCCCCAGAAGAAATCTCCAGGCTCTGATTGTTTATCTGAAGAATTCTACTGAACATTTAAAGGAGAATTAGTACCAATTCTGTACAGTCTATTCTGAAATAGAAGAGGATAGAGTACTTCCTAGTTGGTTGAATGAAGCTAGTATTACCCAGTATGAAAAGCAGACAAAGAAAACTACAAATTGACATTCCATATGAATATAAATGCAAAAATGCTCAACAGAGTATTAGCAAGTAGAATTCAACAAATATAAAAATAATTATACATCAATTGCAATTGAAGTTTAACCTTCTGGGATACATGACCGATTCAGCATTTTAAAATCTGTCAATGGAATCCACCTTATGAACAGGCTAAAGATGAAAAATCATATTACCCTACCATTTGACACAAAAAAAGAATTTGATAAAATTCAGTACTCCTTTATGACAAAAACATGCAGAAAACTAGGTACAGAGGGCCCGTAGAGCCCCTACTCTAGCCTTCTTACTCTGTGTGCTCTGGGGCGTTAGTTACCTTTGGAGCTCAGCTGCGGGTCTTACCTGCATGTTATCAGTCCCCTCCAAGCCTCAGTCCTGGTGGACGTGTCTGCTTGGCCATCACAAGTATCTTCACATTTGCTCTCTCCCAAATCAGCCCCCTCTTCAGCCTCCCACACCACTGCCTCTGCCTTCCCAGTTCACCTTCCAGAGGATGCACCGCCATCCTCTCCACTGTCCAGGCCAGGAGCCCAGGTGTCCTTTGCACTTTACCCCTCATGTGCAGTTCATCACAGCTGTATGCATCACTCTCCCAAGGTGTATTATTAATTCCTGAATAATTTCATTCATTCCTGAATTCCCAACAGCCAGCACATGGACAATTACTATTTGTTAATGAACGAAAGGGTGAATAGCCTGCAAGCATATCAAATTCCCTGCATTCCAGCTGCTTCTCTCTGGCTTAAGCCACTGTCATCTCACTCTTGAAGAACCCCACCAGCTCCCTCACAGCCCCTCTTCTAATCTTGCCGATCGTTTTCCTGTGCTTAAAGAAAACAAGACAGATCATGTTAGTCTCCTGTTCAAAAAACTCTTCATTGATTTTCCATTGCTCTCAGGCTAAAAAGTATAGGCATTATACTGACTTTAAAGACTCAGTTTTCTCTGGCCCCTCCCTCCTGTGCCCCTCCTCCCTGTCGTAGCAGCTCAGTCCCAGAGTACCTCCCTGGGGGGCTCCTGGCCCAGCCTGCTCCTCTGTCCTCTGGGCTTTCATTCATTTTCTTCTGCTCCGAGAGCTCCTGCCTACCTCTCTATGGAGAACCCTCACTAACCCTCTTGCCGCAGCTTGACACTCACTTCCTCTGGACAGGGCCCTTTTCCCTGTGTGTGGCGCTGCTCACAGTGAGGCGCTGTTGCGTGCTCTTTGTCCACCCCCTGCGCTGGACTGGGAGCTGCTGGTGGCCCACACATACCTGGCACATGCTGGGCATTCCTTGGATACTGGAGTAAGGAATGGATGAGCAACTGAAACAGTGTCATCAACTCAACTGTACTCTGAAGTAAAATGTGCTTTATTTCTATCTGTCATAAAGAGGTTTTTTTTTTTAATGTCATAAATGGATTTAATTTGGTGTTCTGTTTAGAATATTTCGTTTACTCCAATTTCAGATTGAAGAAGAAATAAAGGGGTGTTTGCAGTTTCTGCAATCTGTTTACTCCACGTTTGGCTTCTCCTTTCAATTAAATTTGTCAACCAGGCCTGAAAACTTCCTAGGGGAGATTGAGATATGGGACGCCGCTGAAAAGGTACACAGAAACCCCCTGCTTGTCTTTCGGTTTTGTGAATACGGAGCACCCCCAAGTGACTGCATTTACTTTGCATGAGAAATTTTTAAACTGCAAGTTATGGGTAAACATACAGATTGTAGAGTGTAGTTGTCCAGCTTTCTTTGTAAAAATGATAATAACAATACCTTACATTTGTTTCACACTTTAAATTTATGTCAGGTTTCATATGTATTCTTTTCAGTGTTGGTTGCTAATAACCAATTTCCTAAGTTTTTAAAGAAGTCCTCTGGTTTGCAGGCCCTCATGGTGTGTGTGGTGTATTTTAAACTGTTGCCTGTTGAGCCATTTTAGTGTGACTCATGGATGGAGATGCAACTGCCTGATGCTCGAGTCCCCTCCAGTCACAGCTTCCAGTGCCCACTCTCCGTCTGGAGGCACCCAGAGTCCTACAGGTCACCTCTCAGCTTTGGAAAACCAAGATTAAGGAGCTCACCATAGTGGGGTTTTTTTTTTCCTCACTAAACGTGCAAAGGATATAGTGCATCTTCTGTGTCAGTTTTTATTAGAAATGAAGATGGTGTTGTGTCCAGACATCCCAGGAATGCCTGGGCCCTGACCTGCCTGTTGGTCTCCCTTCATATTCACAGATACTATACTGATCACACAAATCACAAGGAGGAAGAGGCAGAGAAACACTACTCATGACAGAACGATTAGTGTTACTTTAGATAGCGAGGCCAGGCAGAGACTTGGTAGAAGAAGTTAGGCTTGAGGCCTAAATAGGGCCTTCTCCGCCGTTGCCCCGTGCCTGTCCTAAATTCTCCTTCTATGTCTGCTGCATGGAGGAAGAAAGCCAAATCAGACAGCATGCCCCAGGGGCAGCCTCGACGTAGCCGCCCAGCCACAGGGAAGCAGGAAGAGGGGAGGCAGAGAGCCTGGCTCTGGAGCCGTCTCTGCCCAGTTTCAGAGGTTAGCTCTGTGAGCAAATTGCAGGTGGTCTCTAAGCATCAGGGTTTGTGAAATGGTGGTGATGACGAGAACGATGATGATGGTAATAATGGTAACACGTACTTCCTAAGTTATGGTGAGCTTAAAAAGAACAGTTTATATGCGGCATTTGGCACTGCACCAAGCACACAAGAGTGCCCCTAAATGTCCAGTGTTGGTATTATTCTTATTAATACTATCACTGTTGTCACTGTGTTCATCAGGAGCAGAGTGGAGAGTGGGGAGCTAGCAAGTGGGTGGACCAGGTGTGGGCCTGGCATGGGGAGAACAGGCTGGAAAGACCCACGTATTTTTGCTTTCTTTTAGCTGATGTGCTTGTTCCCTTAGGAGATGGGCCTGCTTCCACTTGGGGGGAATGTCTCCCGTGTTAGCTACCGATCTGGGAATCAGTGAGAGGAACGTTGGAGTATTTTTTGTCTTCATAAGTCTCTGCAAGTGTTCGAAGGAGATACTGATTAGGTCGACTCAAAGGCCACACTGTTCCCTGGGTCATCAAGTTGCCTTTACGTTATTCCCCAGCTCAGATGATGTCTAGTTATGGAGCCCAGCAGAGGTCGCTAGAGGGATGCACAGTGAACGTCAGATGAGCGTTTGTCCAAATGACCAAACTGTCAGCAGAAAAAATACCCCAGGTTTGAACAATGGGAGCCCTTCTTAGTGTTAAGTTTCATTAAGAAACCTGTGGCCTGAAGAAAATGCCCTTTTCCTTTGAAAACAAACACTTAGTCGCCTTCTGTAGCAGGGCCTCATTTTCCCTGGGAACCCATTCCAGGCCGTGTCCCGTTTCAGCAACAGGAAGGGAGAGGGTGGCCTCCCCGCCTGTGAAGTGCGCATGACAGCGGCGTGTCTGATTCTCAGTAGAAGACAAGCTGCTTCAGTACGATCAGGCCCTTGAGGGGAGCTCCCAGGACCTCAGCCAACACCGGGGCCTGCCTCACTGACAGATTCTGGAAGAGTCTGCCGGGACCCCGGAGCCGGCCCTCCTGGTGACCCTCGCTGTGGCCCTGCACTGCCACTGCTTTGGCTTCCCTGTCAGGCACTTTACTCCCACGTGTCAGCCGCCCTCACGGGCACCAGTGTAATGGGGCGATGACAGGAGTTTGGATGGGGCTTTTGCCATATTCTGGCCAGGGTCGTAGGAATGCCACGGGCTCCCTAAAGAAGCTGCATTCACAGGGAATAGCCAGAAGACTCAGTCCTCTTATTAATACTTCCATGCATACCGAACCACCTCCAGGGCTGGGCATCTTCACTGCAAGCTAACTAGAGGAATTTATGTGGGTCAGGCCGAAGACCAAAGTGGGCCTCCCGCTCCCACAGCCCTGTAAATCATAAAGCATATACCCTACCCCCCACTGCGGCTACATGTACAGAGGAGCAACCGAGAGGTGGCATGTCTTGCCCTTGGTCTTCTTACCCACCTAAACACAGAGTGAGTGAGAGAGCAGTATCAAAGCTTTCATGACTTAATGTGTGAGGTCTCACCTGCAAGGGGCTGAGAAGTGCATAGAGCGGGGGAGGCCCACACTGGCAGGAGGGCCAGGCATTCCTTCCTAAATGCTAACCTGGAATTCACTGGAACAATTTAGTACATTACCTGTTTATTTTTCCAATTAAAATCTGTATGCTCCTTGAAAGCAAGTACCATCTTAATCATCTTTATGTAGTCCCTGCTCAGGAGTTTATTGAATGTGTAAGATGCTCAATAAATATATGTTTAACTAAAATAGAATATAATTAAGATTTGTGGTAACTTATGTTTTGAGCTATGTGATAAAAAGATAAAATGTACAATGGAGTCGATGTTTTCAATGTTTTCTTCTTTTTAAAAAAAAATAGCAACTGCAGAATAGCTTGATAGAATTTGGAGAACCATGGAAGATGAACCCAGGAGATGGAGCATTTTATGGCCCTAAAGTAAGTAGACTATATGCTTCAAAAAGAGTAAAATATAAAGGAAAAATAAAAACTGTCTCTAAGCAAACATCATTTAATTTACAGATTGATATAAAAATCAAGGATGCTATTGGCAGGTACCATCAATGCGCTACAATTCAGCTGGACTTCCAACTGCCTATTAGATTTAATCTTACATATGTTAGGTGAGTAATTGAAAATGATAAATAGTAGAGTGCTCATATGCTCATTATTTGTCATTTGAGCATTAGCCATACAAAAAAATAAGTAAATGTCTAGTAGTATGTGTGCAATATGCTCAATACGTTTACCTTCTTGTAATCTAGTCGGAGATCAACTTGGATTTTCTAAGGATATGGTCTAGTAGGGGAGGGAACATAAGTATGCATAAGATTAGAGATATGAACAAAGTACCATGAAAAACGATTCAAGCTGCTAACTCCTCCTGAGACAGACAAGGAAGACTTCATAAAGAGCTGGCCTCAGGTCTATGTCTTGAGGCTGAGGTATTTGCCAGGGAAAGCAGAGAGAAAAAGGCGATTTTAACCTTGCATATCAACAACTTTCTAAAAAAGTTCTTACCTTACAGTAAAGTTGACTGTGTATGTGTGTGTACAGTCCAACTTTCTAAGAAAATTTCTTAGCCTACAGTAAAGTTGTCTATGTATGCATGTACAGGTCTTTGAGTCTTAACACTGTGTGGAGTGGTATGACCACCAGTACAATTCCAATTCCATCATTCCAGTAAACTCCTGTGCTGCTCTTTACAGTTTTTCTCCTCCTCTCTCCCCACCCCAGCCGCTGGCAGCCGCTAATAAGTTCTCTGTTACTATAGTTTTGCCTTTCCCAGAATGTCATATATATGGAATCATATGGTATATAATAGCCTTTGGGAATGGCTTTTTTTCACTCAGCATCATGTCTTGGAGATTCATCCTTGTTGTGCACATACCAGTAATTGGTTCCTTCTGATTGCTGAGTGTGCTGGTGTATGGATGCACTGCAATATGTTTTCCAATCATTCATTTAAGGACATTTGGGTCATTTCCAGTTTTTGGAATTAGTTTGATTATGAATAGAACTGCTATAAGCTTTAGTGTGTAGGTTTTTTTGGTGTGCATGTAACTTCATTAGTCTAGGATATATACCTAGATATGGATCATATGGTAAGTGTATGTTGAACTTGCAAGGAACTGCCAAACTGTTTTTCAGAGTGACTGTATCATTTTATATTCTCATGAGCAATGTATAAGAATTCCAAGTGTTCTGTGTTCTTGTTGACACTTAGTATTCTCAGGATTCTCTTTCCTTTTCTTTTTGTTAAGCCACTCTAATAGGTGTGTAGTAGTATTTCCATGTGGTGTGATTTTGTATTTCTTTGGTAGTTAATGATGTTAACATCTTTTAATGTACTTATTTGCCATTCATATATCCTCCTTGTGTAAGTGTTTGTTCAAGTCTTGCCCATTTTTTAAACTTGGTTGTTTGTTTTCTTGCTATTGAGTTTTGAGAGTTCTTCATATATTCAAGCCCTTTAATGGATATGTGATTTGTAAATATTTTCTCCTAATCTGTAGCTTTTTAAATTTTTTACAGTATCTTAACTTTAATCTTGAGTTGTTCATTTCAATGTGATCTAATTTATAATTTTTTTCTTTTATGGATTATGCTTTTGACATCATGTCTGTAAACTCTTTGCTTAAGTACAAATCATGAAGACTTCCCCCTATGCTTTATCTTTAAAGTTTTCTAGCATTAAGTTTTATTTAGATCTAAAATCCATTTTGAGTTAATATTTTTTTTTAATGTGAAGTTTAGGTTAGAGTTCATTGTTTGCATCTGGAAGTCTAATTGTTCTAACATCATTTGTTTTAAGATCTTTTTCCACTGACTGGCTTTGGGCCTTTGTCAAAAATCAATTGGCTAAATTTGTGTGGGTCTATTTCTAGATTTCCAAGTCTGTTCTACTGATCCATTGATTATCCTTTGTTAATACCATACTGATTTGGTTACTGTAGCTTTATAATAAATCTTGGAATTAGATAATGTGAATCCTTTATTCTTTCCAGAGTTCTTTTAGCTGTTCTAATTATTTTGCTTTTAACAGAGCTGCAAAAATTCTTCATGAGAATTTGGATAGGAATGGCATTCAATCTAAAGATCAGTTTGGGTAGAGTAGACTTCTGAACTATATTGCATTTTTCCAACCCATGAACAACTTTGATTTCTTTCATTAGTTTTTACAGACTTCAGCATAGAAGTCCATACATGTCTTGTTAGATTTATACCTGCATCCTTTATTGGGGGAGCAGTTGTAAGTGGTATCATATTCTTAATTTTGCCATCCGTATATTTCACTACTAGTATTGGGAGAGAAATACAACTGATCTTTGTATGTTAATCTTATATCCTGAGATTCTGCTAAACTTTCTTTTTTGCTCTAGGAGTTTGGGCTTTTTTTTTTTTTTTATTAAGAGTTCTTGGAATTTTCTATGTAGGTGATCATGCCATCTGCAAGCAGGGACAGCTTAAGCCTTCCTTTCTCATCTGTGTGCCTTTCATCGCCTTTTCTTGCCTTACAGCCCTGAGTAGAACTTCCAGTGCTCTGTTGATAAGAGTGATGAGAGTGCGCATGCTTACCTTGTTCCTAAGCTTAGGAGTAAAGTATATGGTGTTTCACCTTTAGTACAATGTTAGCTGTATTTTTTTGTAGATGCTCTTTATCAAGTTTAGGAAGTTCCCCTCTATTCTTAGTTTTTTTTTGAGCTTTTATCATAAATGGGTGTTGAATTCTGTCAGATTTTTTTTCTGTATCCTGTGACTTTTCTTCTTCAGCCTGCTCATATGGTGAATTACCTTAATTTAAAATGCTGAACCAGCCTTGCATGTTGGAATAAATCCCACTTAATTATAGTGTATCATTTTTTACATATATTACTGGATTTGATCTCCTAACAGTTTGTTGAGAAGTTCTGCATGTATGTTCATGTGGAATATTGGTCTGTGGTTTTCTTTTCTTGTACTGTTGGTCATTGACTGGTTTCGGTATCTGGGTATGGCTTACCTGATAAAATGAGTTGTAAAGTAGTCCATCTTCTATTTTCTGGAAGACATTGCATAGAATTGGTGTTATTTATTTTTCACAAGTTTGGTAGAATTTGCCATTGAAACCATCTAGTGCCGAAGGTTTTCTTTGGGAAGCTTTTAAATTATGAGTTCTTGTAATTTGTTCCTGGCTGAGGTGTGGCGGGAGAAGGGGAGAGGAGGATCAGGGTCAGCACCTTGACCGAGTCAGGTTTGTTCCCTGAGAAGTTAGGGATGGTTCAGCATTAAGAAATGTATTACTATTATTAATTACATTCAACAATGCTGAAAGGCATTGGATAAAAGTTAACATTCATTCTTGTGAGATGAACAGAAATGTCCTTATTATGATAAAGAACGTTTATTAGAAAACAATATCTAAATTTAGTTGGGAAGAAGGTGAATATGTCTACTACTTGTACTGTTACTCAAAATTGTTCCGGAATTACAAGTATTTTAAATAAAGAGATAAAATTATCATTATCCATAGATGTTAAGATATCCAGAAATCCAGTAGAATCAAATGGAGAAAAATTGAAACTGATAATAAAGTTAAGTAAAGTAGCTAGCAATAAGGGCAAAATACAAAAATCAGTTTGCTTTCATATATATTAGCAATAACCTGCTAGGAAATGCAATGGAAAAAAAATAATTTCAGAAGCAACAACACACAAAAAAGTAAAAGATCTGGGAATAAACCTAGCAAGAAAACTAATAATATAGAATATTTATATGAAATGTACACTGTAACATAATCAAAGGCCAAAAAACATATCTCATTTGTTTGGATGAGATTCATAGTACACTCTTGGAATGGGAAGAAACAATGTTGGGAAGATAAACTCTTCACATTTGTCTATAAATCTAATGTAATGCCAACTAAATCCACAGGTTTATTTTGAGGGACTTTGACGTTAATTTTAATGTTCATCTGAAAGTGTAGATGTGTATGCATAGTTTATGCCACTATTTGCCCTTCTGATTTTAATTCCTTTAAAATAAATGGTGGGGCAGAAATTTCTGGTGTCCGGGGGCCTCTGAAAGGATCATCCTGCTGGTCTGTAATTCCCTACACAAAACAACATTGTGTAACATTCATGAAAACCATGCAGTTTTTAGTTTGTAGAATGACTTATTTCCTCACATATATGAGCAGGACTGGACTCAGCCACTTACCCCACCCACCCTAGGGCTTTCTGTGGGATCTAGAGAGATGATTTGGCCTGCAGTCAGTCTATAATGCCTCTAGCAGAAATGACTGGTGATGACATATCCAATTGTAATTCACTGAGGTTAGTTTAATGAGTGGATCTCTCTGTTTTTACTTGTTTGTTTGCTTTGTCTGTGTGTATCTTAGTAGCTAGCTGGTATAACTTATAGATAAAAAATTCTCCTAAGAACTTTGTAAGCATTGAATATTATATTTGTGGCAATAATGTGAAATTTATCTTTCTAAGAAAAATATGCACAGATCTTGAGGTGACTTACTTCATTACAACTAACAGTCATAACTTGGTTTTTCCATCTTTTCCCCAAGGGGAGAAGGGAATCCTTAAGTGTAAGGTGCCTGTCATGAAGGTTTCAGATCTGTAAAGGGAATTTGACCAGCAGACTTCAGGAAAGATCAGCAACATTTTGAGAAACAAGGTTTACAGTGGGGGCAGCGGATATAGTGTTAGGGATGGGACGCATTTGGATCAAACAGGACTGGCTGTGAGTTGGCATTTGGTCAAGCTAAGAGAAGATTATGTGAGAGTTTATTACACTGTTCTTTCTACTTTTGTATGTGTTTTCAATGTTCTCTAATAAGTTTTAAAATGAACAAAGATCAGCAAACAGAACATGAAATAAAATGAATAAGGCTCATGGAAGAGATACCCAAACGTGCTCATCTAAATCTGTAGTCAAAACACTGTGAAAAGACCCCAAAGCACTCTGCTTTGGCCGGTCAGAGTTAGAGGCTGCTGATGACCTTAGGTGCAGAAATAGCGACAGCCACTTTCCCGACCGCTCTGCCGTGGGATGACCTGCACCTGGTCTGCACCAGGGTGCCGCCAGGTGCTGCGAGCACGGTGAGCCCGCGTTCCCCTGGACTCATGCTCACTGCCCTGGAAGGGGCGCCTGCGAACTCTCAGGGAAGCTGAACAGAGTCCAGGACCGTGTTCAGTGCCTCTCCTCTGGGGATCCTCCCTCACCTGTGCCGGTCCCAGCCCAGCGTTACACAGCACAGCATGCAGGACCTTAATGCTCAGGTTTCTTGAAACGGAGTGGTAGTGAAACCGCAGGGAAAAGCACTGATGGGAAGAAGGGGGATATGATTGGGCAGGGGTACGCGAGAGGTTTTTAAGGGAATGGTCATATTTCTTAACACAGTATTTTAAAGTATTCCTTAAGTAGACATGAACATTCTCAACACTCTTCACTACAAATGATATATATTATAACAAAAATTTTTAATTAAAAAAATAGTTCAATTTTTGAATGAAGCAGTACAGCCCAGATACAGACTTAGGTGAGAACATTGTTCATGAGAAATGAGACATTTCAAATCTGGGCGGGGCTGTGGTCAGTAAATGACACTGGGACTATTGGCTGTTCATTTGGGGGGAATGTGTAAAATTTTGTATTTCATACTATATACAAGAGTTAATTATAGTTGGATACTATTTTTTAAAAATCCATCAAAGTAGGATAAAATATAGGTGAATCTATATTGCAGAGAGAAAGTTCTGTCTTTATATAACATTAATGGTAAAATTCATAAAGAAAAAATGCTTTGACTTCTCCAAAATTAAGAGTGTATGATAGGAAGGATGGTACCAAAATAGGCAAATGGAAAGTAAATAAACTTGGAAGAAATATTTTATATTTTCCATATTAGAAGAGGAGTTAATTTCCTTAGCATGCTTTCATGTACTTGTTTATAGTACATATGATACATTTCACATGTATGTTTAGAAACTAATTACCCCCCCCCAGATTTCCCACTAGACAGTGGAAAAGAAATAAAAATAATCATTGAAGATGTAAAATGATATTCATCTGAACTAATTCTAGTGGGGAAACATTTTTTTAAATTTCATTTCTATCTATAACTCAGGAAACAGTTGATCCTGTGATTCTTCTTTAGTGTTTGTGAGAAAATGAGAGTTTAGATACAGAAATCCATTTTCTTTATTTTTTCAGTTTCTTTGACAGTTGTTCAATAAAGAACTGGTGAAGTGAGGCATAGCTCAAAATAAAGTAAACTGCCTGTCAATATTAGTAAACATGATCTAAGCCAGTATTTTAGAATAATCAGTAGACTTGTAATAGAGATAGTGATCTAATATCAATATTACCTTGCTTCTTCTGGGGTAATGTATTTCATTTCCCTGTAGTTTGTAAAAGATATAATAATTTAAAGAAAAAACCTTTATTTCTAATAAAGGGTTCATTAATTATATGCTTAAAAGTAATTTATAAGGAACCCTCATTTTACCTAGTTTGGGAAAATAACTTTTACATATAAGGTAGGAAGATAAAGTCACTACAGAATATCAAGAAAATAATGTAAATGTATAATTTTCATTTTTTAGTACGGAAGGGGATGATAAGAAGAGCCCTGTGATCATTCACCAAGCCATTTTAGGGTCAGTGGAAAGAATGATAGCCATTCTCTCGGAGAACTATCAGGGAAAATGGTAAGTGATGTGGAGAAGAAAAGATATATGTCTATAATTCTTAAAAATCATGTCTAACAAGATAAAATTGGTATTAAAATAATTGGTGTCTCCTGCCTTCTAATTATTAAGTCTCCAAACAGCAAATAATCAATTCTTGTTGCGTCTGTGAGATCAGAAAAACAAAAACAGAAAATAAAGGCAGAGTGGCACAAAACTGTGTCATTTGCCTTTTGAGGACTCAGCAGAATTAGTTATCTTTTCACCTGTTTCAAGCCCTTCAAAGATCTAGTTGCTGTCTGGCAAATACTTGGCCCACACTCCCAGGGTACCACCTCTTGTACTGCCATCCCTCCTTCAGCCCATGCCGTTTACCCCATTGGGGTGCCCTACGACCATTGATGCAGGAGCAAAACATGTAAACCTGGCTCACAAATGGCTCTGAGTGATGTGCTGGCACGAAGCTTAAGAGGACAGCTGCAGAGCCCAGCACACTCAGCGATGAAGTGGGACAGGGAAGGCCCTCGAGTGCAGGATTTTGAGTCGTACCTCTCTAGTTCTTTTGCCTGGAAGGAAACAATGGCCAAAGATATGGAGTTACACTGATCCATAGGCCCTCGTTACTGCTTTGGCCACAAGGTCAGAGACTTAGAGGTAATTCGATGGGAAATAGATGACAAGTAGATTTGAGAGAGAAGAATGTGGATGAGCGCTCAGAATGGGCTGCGAAGGTGCTGCTTCCTTCTGCTAGTGGCTGCTCAGGGGGTCATGAACAAAGTGGCCACTAGGGGTCATGCATGGGCTCCACAAAATGGACCTCACCAAGTTCCGTCTGGCTGTTCCTTTCTGAGGACTCCATCTGCCATCAGTAGTGATGGGTCCTGATCCTTCGTATGGAACCATGACCCAGGAGAACAGCCAGGGCAGGTTGATGGCATTGGGCCCTTTTCATCATACAAGGGCCAACCTCTTATACCCACTAGAAAAGATGGCACCCTGGGTTTTGTCTCTCTTCTTTACTGCCATGCCTCTGCCAGCAGCATGTAAGTATATAGCATGTAGCAGCATATAGATACTTACTGAGCCTTATTCAGTGTCAGGAACACAGCAGTGCTTCTGCCCACAGAAGTAATATTTTACCAAAAGAAGTAAGGCACTGAGCTGACATGAATTCAGTCGTGTTATCATGCTCTCAGAAGCAGCCTTACTAGTAGCCATGCCACCAGCTAGCAGATGACACATCTTGTGATGGCGTATCCTACAGCACATGACAATCCTGCAAACCAGCAGGCACTTGTGAAATTTCACTGCTATGGGGAAAGTGGTAAAAAGCAAAAAAGAACTAGTGGAATCAGGATGGACTGGGAGACAGGAGATGGTGTTAGTGCACTAAATGTGCCATCCTTCATCACAGAGACTCAGTGCAAAGTCTCTGCGGTTCGGAAATCAAGAGCTCAGATACTACTAGAGTTATGGTGGCGATCTCCCCAGGAACTAAAAATAGAAATGGTTAAAATGTGGCCCCCTCGGGATGGGGCTGAGACAGAGCTTAAAAGCAAACTTTTACTTTTCATTTTATACACTGTATTTCTGTGTTTTATCACATGTATTATTTTGCTTTTGTAACTTAATATATAAATACATACATTCATGAAGTGCCATCACATAACAGTCCCCATTACATTTCCTTTCACTTTCAAACTAACTCATTATGATGAAAAAGGCAAATATTTCCCACATCAAACATTGCTTATACCCACCTTTCCATCTTTTTCTTTTTAATTTCATTTTGAGATTGTTATACATTCCCACGTACTTGTAAGAAATAATAGAGAGGTCCAGTATAGCCCTTACCCAGTTTTCCCCAATAGTAGTAACATCTTATAAAATGATATACAATATCACAACTGGGAAATTGACTTTGATATAATCCAAATGGGATCTCACCAATTTATATGCATTCATTTGTGTGTGTGTGTGTGTGTGTGTGTGTGTGTGTGTGTGTACTTAGTTCTGTAACATTGTATCACATATTTAGATTTGTGTACCCACCACCAGTCAAGATATAGGACAGTTTTGTTAGTTAGAAGAATTCCTCCTTCTACTACTACTGTTTAATGACCCCACCCCCAGTCCCACCCCCGTCACCATCCTCTGGCAGCCTTGAATCAGTTTTCCGTCTCCATAATTTTCACATTTCTAGAATGTTATATAAATGGTTGTGTGCAGCCATTTGAGATTGGCTTTGTTCACCCAGCGCAATTCCCTTGAGGTCTATCCCAGATGTTTCAAGTATCAGTAGTTGGTTCGCTTTTATTGCTGACAAGAGTTCTGTGGTGTTAGATGCAGTCAGTGTGAGCATCACCCACTGAAGGACATTCGAAGTTACTTGCAGGTTTTGGCTATAACAAAGAAAACTCTGTGAGATTAGTGTGCAGGTGTTTGTGGGAACGTTGTTTCCCTTTCTCTGGGATGAATGCCCAGGCTGGTGGTGCGGTGATGTCAGCCCTTCCGCCCGGCTGCCACCCGGCTGGTTCTTCCCTCCCACCCCATCCTAAGCCCAGCTTCCCCTTTTGTCTACCCTACTGCCTTTTAGCTCTCACTGTAGTTTGGTTTATTACCCCACCACTCTTCTGAATCTGCTGTCTTGTGAAATTTTAAGAAAAAATAAACTTTTGGTTATTTAATCACTTAATAAATGATTATTATTATATTTTGAAAATAGATATTTTATATATATTTTCAGGCCTTTCTGGCTGTCTCCTCGTCAAGTAATAGTCATCCCTGTGGGGCCAACCTGTGAAAAATATGCACTTCAGGTAAAACCAGAGATATTTAAAGTACATAATAATCTTGTCATGTGGTCTGTGAAAGTTACTGACTTGGGGTGTATTCATCCTTAAAATACTACGTAACTAACACATTGAGCAACCCGTGTTTTTGGTAACTGGGAGTAACACCTGAAGCATGTCTAGGTAGCTCTGTCAGAACTATTTTATTTCTTAATGTTTTTGAGAAATTGGTATTTTAAAACATCCCATATTTAAGTTATTCATTCTGTGTGGCTCTATTAGGGAAGAATACTTATTTATTACTGCATAATAAATTATCCCCAAACTTAGCAGCCTGAAACAACAAACATTTGTTATCTCGGGCTCAGTGAGTCAGAATCGGGGAGCAGGTTGGCTGGGTGATTTGCTGAGGGTGTCTGAGGGGGTCGCAGGCCTTGGGGGCTCACTCACACCATTGTTGATGCCTCCACTCCTCACACCCAGGCTGCTTCCAGGGTTGCCTGAGTGTCCTCCCCACGTCGCAGCTGGTTTCCCCCGCACCCCTCCCCAGGGAGTGCTCTGAAAGAAGTAGAAGCAGCAGTCTTTTAACCTAGTATCAGGGGCCACCTGCCGTCACTCCTGCCCCACTCTGGTCTCACAGACCAAAGTGGCACTGAGTGGAGCAGACTACACGAGGGTGTGAATGCCAGGAGGTGGGGACCTGTGGTCCTCTGGGAGGCTGCAGACCATAGACAATGTGATGATAAAAATGTTTCATTTTCTAAAAATGTTGCATTTTCTTGTAGGTATCCAAGGAATTTTCTGAAGAAGGATTCATGGCCGATGTTGACTTAGATCATAGTTGTACACTAAATAAGAAAATACAAAATGCACAGCTGGCTCAGTATAATTTTATTTTGGGTAATTTAGGTTTATATATATTTTTCCAAATGCTTTTTTCAGTAATAATTCCAAAAAAACTAAAAAATATGGTATAACTCCTTGCCTATGACAATTTGACTATTCAACCTCTATCTATACGCAAAGAAGAGGCTGGTGTTCCTGCTTAGCTGTTCCAAGGTAGTCTTTCTTTCTTGCTGGAAGAAGAGCTATAAAGTTTCTCATGAATCCTGTGGTACAGTATCACTAACATAGTTAATATCTCAAGATGATGGGAAAAAATGTAAAAATGATTTTAATGTTCTCCTTTGCCTTTTCTGGTTTATTAGAAATCTTTGAGGTTAAACTAATGAGTAGAAAAGCTTCCACATGTAAGATGATAAAAATAAAAAAGAATTTAAGTGAAAAAATAAAATGTCCTTGAGGCACATGAGTAATTTGGATGCAGAATCCAAAATTCTGACTTGAAAAATAACTCAGAAATCAAGGAAACTGATACTGATATGCTTGCAGGCATGATGTTGTTATCTTCTATCTATAAGTTGAAAGATTCTTTAGAAAGCAAAATAAATATGCATAGAATTGTCCAGTCAGTAGTTTGTCATTGCAAGTGTTGACTGTGTAATAGGAATTGTGATATTTCAGTTAGGGTTCAGAAATCTCACATTAGCTTAGACAAAGATAAAATTTATTGGAAGGGTACTGGAGTGTCTTAAGACATGGAAGGTAGAATTAAATAGCCAGACCATTAGAAAAGTAACTGGGACATAAAGCTCAGCCCTTACCAGGACTGTTTCTTCCCATTTCTGGTCCCTGTTTTGCTCTTGTGCTTTATGCTTCTCTTGAATATTTACTTTATTCCTCTTACCTGCTGACCAGTTTCTTCCTTCCACATGGCAAGAGACATGGCTGCAGATTTCCGCATCATCTCACAGTATGGATCGCTAGAAAGAACAAACTTTTTAACCTACATTTCAGAACATTCTGGTTGGCTGCTTGGACATTGGGTCTGGTGTCTACCTGTTGATTCAAGTATGCCAGATGGGAGTCGGGGGGTCTGTAAGAACTTGTTGCTCCCACTTGTCCCCCAAAACCACTATAGGTGTTCTTTCAAGTGGACCATAGAGAGAGAGAGGATTAGAAGTCATTCCTTTCCTCAAGAAACTTACTATCAGAGGGTGACCTGACAGTCATGTGGTTGATATTTAGTGACTGATACTGCAGAAAAAATAAAACACATTTCATGTGAGTGTTAATATTTTATAAATCATTAATTTTAAATGTTTATTTTCCTTTCTTTTTTACAGTGGTTGAAGAAAAGGAAAAGACAAATAATGCTGTAAATGTTCGAACAAGAGACAACAAAATTCATGGAGAGATTTCAGTAACTTGTGCCATTGATAAATTGAAGAACCTCAAGAAATCACATGCACTAAATGCTGAAGAAGACTTTTGAAATCCTTCCTTGGACTTGCTTCTGTGTAACCTTATTTTGACTCTTGAAAATGCATTTTTCTTAATGTTAATACTTCTGAGAACCTTGGACCCACTGATGAGCACATTAAGAAAGGAGACTGAATGAATAGCTGATATGAACAAAGTTTAATTCACTAATGTTTCTTCAGACAAAAAGAGGACAAGCTTGGAATATTTTTAATTTCCCAAATGCCTTGAGAGACTTAAGTAGGAAAATGTTACTCATTGAAAGAGGGAAATACTAGGAAATGAAGATTATAAGGTATTGTTAAGATGTGTGGTTTTCAAAAGATGGTCTTCAAATAAAAGTCTGCAAAGTTTTTTTGAATATGGGGGAAAATGTTATTTTCTAATAACGTTATATTTCAGGTATTTGCTTTACTGAGGTTTACAATGAAACTTTATCTCTAAAACTGGAATCATTAATTTGTTTTAACTAGCCAACAACCACAAAAGCAGAAACTAGTAAATACTGGATTACTGACAGAGGACTCTGAACTTCAGAAAATTTCAGTGAAGAATCGTTTTGGGGTTTTTTTTGCACCACAGGTTAAATGCTGCTTTAGCGCTTCTAATTGACAACTGAGCCATGTTCATCTTTAGAAAAAATAAATTCCTGAATAAAATGTATCACAGTGTTTCTAGTGTCTCAGCTATGGGCTTACTCCACAACAAGCTGCTCCCCTACAGTTAAATTACTTTTTTGATGGGATGACAGTCTACTGATTTATAGACTCTGTTAACCTGAAAGATAAATTTGTCAGTTAACTTACCCGCAAAAAATAGGTTTATTTGGAAAGCAGAGAATTGCAATTTGGGACAGGTAAGCAATGGCAAAACCATATAGCAAGTCTAGAGAACATAGGAGAGCAACACTTCTATAGAGGAGGGGGAAGAGTTGGGAGGGGCTGTGGTAAAAAGTCAGTTGGAGTAACCTGGGAGTTGGAAGTGTAGAGGCGTTTCATTGGCTGATTTATGACAGTCTCTCATTGGCTGGGCTGTTGCACCCACAAAAGAGAAAAATCTTCCTCTTGCTGGGGTAGTAAGACAGGGATCTGCAGTTGACCACTTCCAAGGTCAACTTTACTGAGGTTTCCTTTACACAGTTTCACAATTCAAATGATTTCTGATTTTAACTGAAAGGAAAACCTGCTCAGAACCGAACCGAAACAGTTTTATGCTAATAGAGAACTTAGCCACCAATCAAGTATTATTGCGTATTTGGCTAGGCCCTATGGAATTCAAAATAAACATGAATTCTTTCTCTTCTCGACAAACTTATTATTTAGCTTCCTGAAAAGTTAGCAAAACAGCATCATATATCAGACCTGTAGAGCACTATATGGTGCAAGTTGATACGATTTTTTAAGCATTTATTGAGGCCTTACTGAGTGCTGTTAGAAAAAGCCTAAAACCTCAGTGTGATTTATTCCCACCAGGAGGTTTAAACAGTAAGATATTAACAAAGGGCCACCTGGTGAAAACATGCCAGGAAGTTGCTCTGGCTGAGAGTCGGGGGTGGGGTAGGGGAATCGATCAAGACCGGGCTGTACCTGTTTGGGAAAAGAAGCTTTCAAACTGCCAATAAAATTAAGACAAATGTAAAGGAAAGCCTAATACGAATATAACTTGTTTAGGCGACTCAAGGGAAAGAGTGAAAACCCTGTAGTACTATGAGAAACACACTCACTAGTCTAAATTCAATAAGTGAACACAGAGACAAAGAGAACAGCAGAGCGAGGCTTTAATGACCATCCTGCAAGATCGGGTGTCTGGTGGGCAGGCACACCTGGGGAGTTTGGCGCCAATCATTTATCTCCTATGAGTCCCTCCCCTGGTTCCTCATTGGCTGAGTACTACAGGGATCACATTCTTTCCCAGATGTCGCCTAAGCCAGTTTTATCTTCCCTTTACATTTGTCTTAATTTTATTGGTAGGTTTAAAAAACTCAAACAGGTATTGCCAGGCCCTTATCAATTCCCCCACCCCCACTCTCAGCCTGAGCAGCTTCCACCACGTGGCCCTTTGTTAATACCTTACTGTTAAAATGTTTAAACATCCTAGAGGGAATAAATCACATTTAGGTTTTATACTCTTTCCTAACAAGTACTCAGCTTCTGAGGAACCAGGGGAGGGACTCGTGCGCTAGGGAGCGAATAACTTGCACCAACTATCCCAGCTGTGCCTGCTCACCCGACACCGGATCTTGCAAGACTGTCATTAAAACCTCCTCCGCTGTTCTCTGTCTCCCTGTCCATTTACTGAGTTTGGACCAGTGAGTGTGTTTCTCACAGTGCCAGGCACTATTTGATTTTTCTTTATTCATTTATTAAAGTACTAGAGAGGGAATGGGTAGTCAGAACACCCCAGAAAGAATTATCTTCTAGCTGGTGGGTGGGAAGAGAGAAGCATGTCAGCAGCACAGGAGGAAGAAGGCTGTGAGAAAAATACATGCAGTCTGCCATATGAGCACACAGGGAACCAGAGAGGCCTCGGGTACACTCCCCAGGGCAGGCTACCCAGTAGGGGCCCAGCTGCACACTGGCTCTTCGCATCCCAGGTCTCTTGTCCCAGTGCTTCAGGACCTGAAAACTTGCCAGCTATGCTTGATGTCCTCACTGAAG